CCTGTCTTTTTAATGACCTCTTGCTTTCTTCATGTATGATGTCCTTGATGTCATTCCACAACTCATCTGGTCTTCAGTCATTAGTGTTCAATGCATCAAATCTATTCTTTAGATGGTCTCTAAATTCAAGTGGGATATACTCCGGGTTGTACTTTGGCTCTCATGGACTTGTTCTAATTTTCTTCAGCTTCAACTTGAACTCACATATGAGCAATTGATGGTCTTTTCCACAGTCGGTCCCTGGCCTTGTCCTGACTGATGATATTGATTGAGCTTTTCCATTGTCTCTTTCCACAGGTATAGTTGATTTGATTCCTGTGTATTCCATCTGCAGAGGTCCATGTGTGTAGTCACTGTTTATGTTGTTGAAAAAAGGCATTTGCAATGAATAAGTCTTAGTCTTGCAAAATTCCATCATGTGATCTCTGGCATTATTTCTATCACCAAAGCCATATTTTCCAACTACCAATCCTTCTTACTTGTTTCCAACTTTCACATTCCAATCACCAGTAATTATCAGTGCATCCTGATTGCATGTTCAATCAATTTCAGACTGCAGAAGCTGGTAAAATCTTCAATTTCTTCATCTTTGGCCTTAGTGGTTTGTGCATAAATTTGAAAAACAGTCGTATTAACTGGTGTTCCTTGTAGGCATATGGATATTATCCTATCACTGACAGCGTTGTACTTCAGGATAGATCTTGAAATGTTCTTTTTGACAATGAATGCAATGCCATTCGTCTTCACTTTGTCATTCCCAGCATAGTAGACCACATGATTGTCTGATTCAAAATGGCCAATACCAGTCCATTTCAGCTCACTAATGCCTAGGATATTGATGTTTATGCATTCCATTTCATTTGTGACGACTTCCGATTTTCTTAGATTTATAGTTCGTACATTCTAAATTCCAATTATTAATAGATGTTTGCAGCTGTTTCTTCTCATTTTGAGTCGTGCCACATCAGCAAATGAAGGTCCTGAAAGCTTGGCTCTATCCAGGTCATTAAGGTCAACTCTACTTTCAAGAGGTACCTCTTCCCCAGTCATATTTTGAGCGCTTTCCTACCTGAGGGGCTCATCTTCTGGCAGTATATCAGACAATGTTCAGCTGCTATTCATAAGGTTTTCACCAGCTGATTTTTTCAGAAGTAGACTGCCAGGTCTTTCCTAGTCTATCTTAATCTGAAAGCTGCACTGAAACTTGTCCAGCAAGGGTGACCCTGCTGGTATTTGAAATACCAGTGGCAAAGCTGACAGTATCACAGCAACACACAAGCCACCACAGTACAGCAAACTGATAGACACCTTTTCCCCTCAATTATCTAATTAAAAATATTTGTTAAAAAAAGGATCATCCCACAATCAAAATAGTTAATTATGATAATTATCCTGGCTTGGAGGCAGTGTTTAAAAGTTACAACATGTTGATCTTTGAACACAGTCTCTCCTCCACTCCATCAGGTTAATGCTGGTTAAATTTTAAAGTCAAAAGAATGAGAAAAAAAAAATCCCCCTGCCCAAACACTTATAAATTAGATGTAAAAAATTTAGCTGCGATAGTTCCAATCTTATAGGCTACTACAGTGTGAAAATTTTAAAAGTAGTTTTTAAAAAGGATCTTTAATTTTGTTCATAGAAATGCCCACAATATGCGACATGAGTACACCATCACATGTATACATATGCGTATTTAGTTGCTGCACGGTATATCTTGGCTTTACTGACTTTAATTCTTTATACTGCCAAACACACTTTTGTGGGCGCAAACTTTCTTTGTTTCAGTCTATTGCCATTTGAGTTGAAGACACTCTTTGTGTCTGTCTTTGAGAAACAGCTTCCTCTCTTTTTGGTATGGTGAAAGTTCCAACTTCACTAGAGATAGCTTTCTGCTTAAGACAATCAATGAGAAAACATGGACTTTCTTGTCTTGTCTGGGGTACAGCAATATTGAAACTCCACCCTAGACCTTTTCAAAATAGACTTGTACTCAGGGCATATTTGAGAACAGTTTCCTGTTTGTTACTCTTTTCTTAGGCCCTTTTTTGTCTTATACAGATCCTTTAATGCAAAATTGTAGTAAGCTTTTTAAGTTTCTAATGCTGATACCCTTTAACCTCTACATGCTTCCATAGTCAGAACTTCTACTTGTTTCCATCCTCATAGGTTTCTTACTTTTTTAAAAATGACTATCTAGAATCTATTCCCTAGATTTTTTACTTTTAGCCCTAACGATTTCTGACTTAAACACCCTCCCACAGTTCCCACCCTTAAACATCCTGACTCTACAAACTTCCTATGCAAGCCTGACCCAAATGTAATCAAGAGCAGGGAAGAAAGATAATTTGAACATGCTCAGACGTGGCAAGGCAAGAGACTTTGTAATTAAATCTGATCCAGCATAACAACTTGCAAACTCTCCCCAACTCCTAGACACTAGGTTCTAGAAGCAAGACATAAAGAGCTAGATGACACCATGATTTTCTCAGGGTGTCCATTAAGATCATTTCCTGAGCATCTTTTTGAAAGCTGTGTCATTTAGTCAAGACTTTAATTTGCTCTCTGTGGTTTCTCCCTGCACCCAGGTCTCTGTGGGACTTTCTGTCCCCTGTGCCTCTCGTGTCAGATCGCCTCTGACATGGATGAGTTCTGCCTATGCGGAGCAACTGTCGCTATGAGGACCCTCTACCGGACCCGATACGGCATCCCGGTGAGTCTCCGAGTGTCCACTGTGTGGTGCTAACAAACATGCCCTGGATTCTCTTCAGTCTGACTAGATTTCTGTGATTGCTCTCCTCATCTTCATGACTTTATTCTAGTCTTTTCTCCACTACTATCCTAAGTTTTTAAAGTGACTCGCAGGCCCATGATGCTATCCATGCTTTGGAATATATTCCTTATGAAATCTTGTATTTGGCCTAATAAATGTGTTTCTGAAAAGCTGCTGAAGGTGAGTAGATGAGGGCAGAGGCCAGTGTAGGGCCCTTAATCTCTCCCTGCTTTACTTAGAGTCAGAGTATACCCAAACCACACCCAAACCCGTTGCTGTGGAGTCATTTGTGACCCTACAGGACAGAGTAGCTGCCCCATAGGGTTTCCAAGGAGGGACTGGTGGATTCAAACTGCTCACCCTTTGGTTAGCAGCCTGAGCTCTTAACCACTGTGCGTCCAGGGCTCCAGGACTCTGCAAATCTGCAGGGACGGTGACAGTTTCTTAGAAAGCTCTGGGTAAAAATGGTCCTGCAGTGGATCCTCTCAGAGCTGGTACGTTTAACTCCCTGGTAAGTCATAAGCCAGTATTCATTCATTCAACAAGGACTATCGAGCATCTATGACCTTGTTCAGTCATAAGCTATCGTTCATTGATTTAACTAGGATTTATTGAGTATCTACAGGTCCCTAGGTGTTTGCACTCAACTACTAACCTAAAGGTGGGTGTTTCAAACCTACCCAACAATGCCATGGAAAAAAAGGCCTGAGGATCTGCTCCCATAAAGATTACAGTCAAGAAAACTTTATGGAGCAATTCAGCACTGTAAAGCATGGGGTCTCCATGAGTCAGAATCTACTTGACTGCAATGGGTTTGGATTTTTTGTCTTTATTGAGCATCTAAAACATGCCAAGTACTATTCCAGATGTTGGAAATACATCAGTGAACAAAGCATATTACTATCCCTGTCTTCATAGAGCTTACATTTTTTTTTATAGCAACCTTTTATTTTAACATAATTTCAGATTTTTTTAAAGTTGCAAAAATGGTAGTGTTCCCAAATACCCTTCACCCAGATTCCCCAAAAGTTAAAATGTTGTCATGTTTGCTTTATTATTTTGTCTCTCACCTCTATCTGCCTGCCTGCCTGTTTCTATTTTTTTCTGAATTATCTGAGAGTAAATTACAACTCTGATACCTCTTTATCCCTAACTACTTCAGCATGTATTTTGTAAAAACAAGGACATTCTCTTACATAATCACAATACACCTATCAAAATCAGGAAATTATCATTGATAAAATACTATTAGCTAATCTATTGACCTTGTTAAAACTTCACCAATTATCCCAATAAGGTTCTTCATATGAAAAGGAAATGAATCTGGGATCACACGTCATTCAGTTGTCATGTCTCTTTAGTCTTCAACAATCTGGAATAGCTTCTTAATCTTTCCTTGTCTTTGATTACTTCGACATTTTTTATTAATACAGGTCAATTATCTTGTAGAATGTCCCTCAATTTGGGCTTGCCAAATGTTTCCTCACGATTAGATTTTCGTTATGCCAATTTGGATGGAAACACCCCAGAAGTGATGCTATGATCTTCTCAGTGCATCACAGCAGGCACAGGAAGTCAGTTTGTCCCGTTATTGGTGATGTTAACTTTACTTACTTAGTTCACTTGGTTAAAGTAGTGTCGGCCAGTATCCTCCACTGTGAAGTTGCTATTTTCCCCTTTATAATTACAAGTATCTTGTGTTGTTTGTTGGGAGGTGCTGTCAAGTTGATTTTCAACTCGTAGTAACCCCAAGTGACAGAGTAGAGCTGCCCCATAGGGTTTTCTATGCTGTAATCTTTATGGGAACAGATCACCAGGTCTTTTTCCAGTGAAGTCACTGGGTGGGTTCAAACCGCCAACCTGTTGGTTAGCAGCCGAAAGCTTAACCGCTGCGCCACCAGGGCTTCTAAGTTCAAACCAAATCCATTGCAGTCGAGTCGATTCCCATAGGGCTTCCAAGGAAAGGCTGGTGGATTCAAACTGCCGACCTTTTGATTAGCAGCTGCAGCTCTTAACCACTATGCCACCAGGATTTCCGGGCTCCTAAATAGGGAGATGTAAATAACCTGTTCTTCACCAAATCTTCACCCACTAGTTCTAGCACCCACTGAGATTCTTACTTGAATCAGTTATTACTATGATGGTTGTCAGTGGTAGAATTTACATTCTAATGTAAGGAGAGAGCCAAATACAGTGAAACCTGTGAAAATTGGAAGTTGGCAGGACTGCTTTTTTCCGAGTCTCCCAAGTTTTCCACCTTTGACTAGGTACAGCCTTACTACTTTTCTATCACTCTCTATTAGTGGAAAACATTGAGTTTTCCTTCTCTGACAGGTTTCCACCTGTCTTAGTTGTCTAGTGCTGCTTTGGCAGTAATATCACAAGTGGATGGCTCTAACAAACAGAAATTTATTCTTTCACAGTTTAGGAGGATAGAAGTCTGAGTTCAGGGCACCAGCTCTAGGGAAGACTTTCTCTCTCTGTTGGCTCTGGGGGAAGCTTCTTGTCTCCTTTGAGCTTCTGCTTCTGGTGATCTTCATGTGACTTGGCATCAATATTCCCCCATCTCTGGGAGGTTCTCAGCACAGGGACTCTCGGTCCAAAGGACACTCTCCACTCCTGGCTATTCTTTCGCAGTGGTAGTGAGATCCCTTTCCTCTCTGCTTGCTTCTCTCTCCTTTTATGTCTTATAAGATAAAAAGCATGACTCAAGCAAGGAGGTGACTTGAGTAAGGGTATGTCTTAAATAAGAGTGGTGACTTGAGTAATGGTGTGACCTGAGTAAGGGCATGACTTGATTCACGCCCTCTTGTAAAATTGTGACTCAAGATACCCCCCACACTAACCCTGCCTCAATAACACATATAGGTCAAGATTTACAACATATAAAATGGAGGATATTTATATAACATCACAAAATGGTGGATAGCTACATCAGATCACAGAAAGGAGGATAATTACAATCAGGGCCTAGCCAGGTTGACACATATTTTTTAGGAATCCAATCCAATCCATGACACCACCTTACACAGGTTCAAGCTTTTACAGGTTTTACTGTATAACTAAGTAAAAGTATAATATGTAGGATTATGGTAAGTGCTACAGGGAAAAGGAAAAAAGAAAAGAAGAATAAAAAGTGTTGAGTGCTTCCAGTGTTAAATACGGTTATCAGGGAAGACCTCAGTGAGAATGTAAATGACTAAAAGGGTGAAAGGATGACCCATCTGGGGAAAGTCCAGGCAGAGGAAAGAGCTAGACCCAAGGCCTTGAAGTTGAGCTTGTCTGGAGCATTCCAGAAATAGCTGGTGGTAAGGGAGGCAGGAGTAGAGTGAGTGAGGAGGGTAATAAAAGAAGACCATTAACAAGGAGGCGGGGCCAAGATGGCAGAGTAGTCAAATGCTTCCAGTGGACCTTCTTACAACAAACAGCCTGAAAAAACAAGCGATTTCATTATGTATGGCAATCTGGGAGCCATAAACATCAAAGGCAGAGTTGAGGAACCAGACTGAGTAGCAGGGGGAGGGAGAGATGGTTTGGAAGCAGTGAGGAGCTGCCAGACCTGACCCGGCAAGAGCCTGAGCCCTTCAGGTCTGATCGGCTCGGGGCTGACTGGTGAGGCAGGCAAGCAGCCATGCTCGGGAGGCATGTTTTCCACACTGGGAGAGACCCAGGTGCTGAGAGTCTACATGGACACCCAGAACCAGTAAGAAGCAGCCCTCGATCCGGCAAAAGATAGGTAATTGCATATGGTCTACCGCACAGATCAAAAACACCCCCCCTCGGGAAAAACCTCTCTCCCATTTACCTCCCTGCTCCCTGCTCTGCACTGGGTCCCGGACCAGCTTCAGCAATTGCTGAGTCCTCTGGTCCGGAAGTAGAATCCATCACATGCCCGGAGCCATTCTCCCTGCCTTGGAAAGTGAACAAATTAACAAACGGGAAAAAATAAACTGCCAGCTCCCATAAGCCAGGAACCCACGGTAGGCACAGCTCCTTTGCCTAGGCACAGGCATAAGGGATCCACGGACTTTGACTGCCTTTCCCCCTGCATAGACTTGTGTGGGCCCATCTCAACAGAGTAGGCCCTCATTACCACAGTACAACAGGGTATATACCAGAACTCTAACTTCAACTGTTTCAGCTATGAAGTGACAGATTCTTGACATTTGACATTGCTCTGCCCATTAAGCAGGTCTTCACCTACCCACATCAGGAGCTGGGCACCAGAGTTGAATCCATACAACAGGAGTGGGCAGACTCCTGACCTTACATACCTAGTAACAGATCTAACCATCTGGTGACAAGACATTAGAGCTTCAAAGGTGCCAATAATCAAACTAGCTCATATAAGCAGCTTATTTGGACATATCAAAACAAAACAAGAAGCTAGGACCCAGTGGGCAAACATAAAATAAATAAATATAATAACTTATTGATTGCTTGGAGAAAACAGTCAATATGAAATCATAGAAAGAGGCAACCCATGATGGCTTCAGCAATCTCCCAAAATAAAGAATCTAGAAATTTTCCAGCAGAGGAAAATTTCTTCAAATTACCGGAGGCAGAATTCAAAAGATTAATACACAGAACTCTTCAAGAAATTAGGAAGAAAATTAAGCAAAACATAGAACACGCACTGGAGGAAATTAAAAAGATTAGAGAAAAGCATACCAACAAATTTAATAGGCTGCAAGAATCCATACAGAGACAGCAATCAGAAATCCAGAAGATTAACAATAAAATTTCAGAATTAGACAACTCAATAGAAAGTCATAGCAGCAGAATTGAGGCAATGGAAGTCAGAATTAGTGAGATTGAAGAACTATATATCCAGCAAAACTGTCTCTCAAATATGATGGTGAAATTAGGGCATTTCCCGATAAACAGAATTTTAGGGAATTTGCAAAAACCACACCAAAATTACAAGAAATACTAAAGGG